GAAGAGATGAATTAATTTTCTTTTTTTGTCACGCACTTCACTGGGCAATTTTTTTGGAGAGAAAGATTTCCACTGTTGGGCTTTATATAGGGTACACATAACAGTTGGTGCTGGAGCCATTTTTATTGGTATAAAAAAAAAATTGCACAAAAACATTTTATTCCAGGTCTGATCGTAAGTTACCAAAATATACAATAATAATAATAATTTGCAACCACCATGAAAACTACAGGAGAGCCTTTTCCTGACCAACGCAGCGTTTGTATCTAAGTTAATCACTCATAATCAATCATTCATCTCTATGAATATATTTGAATAATTAGCTTACACTTGTGATGTTGCTGTTGTCTTTTGTTCATGTTCCTTTGTCGTTGACATCCCTGAGACGATAAGGCCATTGTCTTCGGGGTTCAGTACCTTCTCACCGGCTTTCAGTCGATCCAGTGCAGTATGCAGCAGTTCACTTGGCCAGGCACCAACCTCAATACCCTTGCGTAACACACTCATCGACTTTGATATATTACCTATAAAATTTAATCATATATCATTTTCTTTTATACTATACTATATATAAATCAAAATATAAAAAACAGGTATTGTCCAATGTTAAAACCTGAATAAGTTTTCAAAATTCAACTAAAGGTTATAATTGCTCATAAAAAAGAGGATCAAATAATTTTTAACAAGACAGATTTTATTTATGTCAGACATTTTAGTTTTTGGTGATTTAGAGACTTCTAATATAAATTCCATAAAATGTCTGCCCAGCCAGCTTAAAAATGCAAAGATTTTGAAAATAATAATAATAAACAACAACAATAGCAACAACAACAGCAACAACAACAACAATTCATAAAAAGCCTCAATGTGCTTTACAACAAATTTGACTTGAAATACTTAAACTAATAACAGTTCCGAATGTGCACTATCGGTATACTGTAAGTGTCCAATACAGGCTCCGGGAACTTCCACCTCAGAATAAGCCATTGGCTGTGCTACCACGCACTGCAAAAGACAACGATGTTGTCTCTAGTAAGGAACAGGTGGGGCCCAGCCCTGGACACCCAACAAACGAAAGCACATCCATCAGCTCAAATAGTATTGTTCAATTTAATAATTGATGGACATTTTTTAAAAATTGTTCACTACCATATACAATATAGAATTTTAGCGAAAAAGGCAGTACTAATATACAATCATAATTTGTTGACATTTTTTATGGATGTATTTGATATACAAATCTTTCTAAGAAATATATCAAACAACAAGTAGAAAAGATAATTGACATTTTTACTAACTGTAACTTAAAGAAAATGTTTTTCCTATCTAAATTGTTTTTATGAAGGCTTATCAGCAGACATATGGCTATAAATATAAGAACATAAGAAGATATCAATAATTCTATGAATAAATATACCAGTAGGCGTATTATAAAGGTAGAATGGCAAGCATATATATTTAGCAGGCATGTAATAGGATACCTCTATGCATGCATTTAACCAGTAGGGAGCTAAGCATGTCACAGTCATAAACATTGCTGATTACCATTTTTTCAAGGATATCATTTCAAATTTAGAAATAATATATCATAAAACCATTGATACTTATTGTAAATAAAATGTATAATGACGAACCAATGTCATGTTCCAGCTGTGCAGCAGCCACATGAATTCTGGCCAGGAATCTGACGTTAGCCCTCGCGAATTTAAATAATGTCCTCGCTTCATCCACATCTTGACTCCTGATAACAACAAATAATCAATCATTGAGTTTGCATGTGCAGAAAATATAAATTGAATCTTCTTCAAAGCCAGGCTACGAAGGACAAAATAGATGTTGATATGTTGTAGTATACAACTGCTTTTTCCAAGACACAAAAAGAGTTGTTTAAACAAAAAGACTTGGAAACGGTTTGATATACAGTATACAGATTTGTTAGCGTATTTACCATTTTCCCACTTTTTTCCCAAGTTTTAAATATTCCAAAATCTGTATCACATAAACCGCTTCCAATGTTTATGTCCAACACCTTTTGTGTCTTAAAAAAAATCAGTTGTACAACATATCAACATTTTTTTTCCCTTCAGAAGCATGCCTTTCAAAAAAGACAGAAATCTATAAGGGAAAAAAACGCAATAAAATCTAATAAAAACATTGAATTTAGAAGGATTTAATTAACTTATTAGTTTCTAAGGAGAGACAGATCAAAACAACCCCTTTTCTCTTGATTTACACACCTTCTAGCTGACAAAATTCTTAAATTGATTACAATACAAGTCAATTTAATGGTCTAGGAAAAAAAGAAACGAAATATATATGCACCTTTTAATTGACAACGAAAGCATTTTGTCATTTCAATTGAAAGGTAATTCCTATAAAATATCTTAGTGTTACTAAGAATTTCAAATGTTTCAAATTTTATTAATTTACAAGTTGCTTTAGCCAAATAGAGGCAGTACTGCACTGTGCACTTATTGGGACACCATTTACTACTAACAATGGCCCTTACAACTTCTTGAATTCCAGAGACAGTGTTGTGACAAACATAGCAATAAACTCAGTTCTGTAAATGTTAGAAAATGTGTGCACTTGCGTACCATTTGAGCTCATCAAATTTTACCAAATTTAATTGAGGCAGGCAAATGGATACAGGGCGAAGTAGACATCGCCACTTCAATTTTGACAGCTAAAATAAACAAATTTAAGACTACAGTACAGCCATATTTTATATTCTCCTCCAAATGTTTCCAAAGTTCTAAAATAGTTCATGTTAATGGAACAATAAATTATTGAAACTGAATGGTGTAATACAAATATTTGTTTGGAACTGTCGGCAATTATACTCATCTTTCCAATAATTTGTTTAATTTTACTAAATTTAAATGACGCAGGCCAATGGACACAGGGCGAAGTAGACATCGCTGATTCTATTTTGACAGCTAAAATAAAAAAATTGTAGACTACAGACATATTTTATATTCTCCTGCTCCAAATGTTTCCAAAGTCCTGAGATAGTTTATGTTAATAAAATGATAAATTATTGAAATTGAATGGTGTAATACAAATATTTGTTGGGAAATACAGGCAATTATTTCTTTTTCAATTAGACTCAACTTTCCAATAATTCCCAATGGGGATGATGAGTTAATTGTTTGCTAGTGTATAAATTATTAATTTGACAAGTACAATACAAATGTGACATATAATTATAGATCCACTGTATGATTTACTGACATTTTATAACAAAACAATTTAAAAATGACTGTTAGCCAATTAAATAGTTTACGTTGATGCAAAGAATGTATCAACAATACCTATTAATATGTATTCGTTTTGCAAGGAAATATATTCTTGCTCGAATTATAAATTAAAAGGTAATAGCTTAAACTCTGTCCACAATATCACATTTTCTTTGACAAAAAACTGTTGTATGCCCATACATGGTCATTATTTGACTATATATGGTCATGTTGTGATGTCATCATGACCATATTTAGGCATGTCACATGTTTTTGTCAAATAAAATTTGATAGTCTGGACAGGACCTTAGACACTGTACAAAACCATCAATTCAAATACTGAATTTTACTGTTAACTTCGCTGGTTGTGTGTGTGTGTTGGGGGGGGGGGGTGAGGAGGCCTGGTGGTGTGGGGGTGTTGGGGGGGGGGGGTGAGGAGGCCAGTCAAATTGGTTTTTGAAACTTACGCTCGTAACCTTGCTGAGTTGATCAGGATCGTTGCGTAATTATCGTTCTTCTTGTGTTTGTGCACAGGAATATCATGAATGGCTTTGTTATACATGATGTTCAAACTTGATGCATCATTGTTTCCTCGTTTCTCAATTGCTTTGAGGTACTCCAACCAATCTTCTGGTTGGTTCCCATCTTCCAAGATCTTAGCGAGCCAATCCCTATCACTGGTGTCTAGAATTTTTTTTTTTAAATCATTAAAAAAAATATTCTCTGCTTAAGTATTTTTCTTTCTGTTAGCCTTTCTTTGTTGTTTTGGTGGTTCTCTCCTCTAAATATTAAATGATTTTTAAACACAACTATTGACCCAGTTGTCAGGGAATTGTGCTAAAAAAGGTGGAGACAGAACAATTTTCTAGGCTGGAGAAAAAATTTGGCCTCACAGTGGCATTTTTGAAGTGATATAACCTATTATTACCACAGCCCAAACAATGGTGGAACTAAGGTGGGTGCGGCCTTTACAGTATCAGAACCACCTCAATGGGCAAATGCTGAAGCCCACACTGCCAACTTTTTTAGTTGCTTTTGTACTTAGAGAACCCACTTTGCCTTTAGGTTATATTTTTCATAAATTTATCATTTCATTGTTATTCAATTATAATTTATCAGCATTACTTTTTAATTATACCAAACAAATAGAAATACATCTAATAACATGTTTGAACAGATTTTCTGCCTGGTCATTGACACTAAACATGAATCAACATTTCAAATTGTATATTGTATAGCTTACAATCTGTCATTTCTGCTGTTAGATTTGCAGTGCTATGTGCTTTCAGTTGCGTAATTCGTTGCTGCAGTGAAGTCAGTGATATATTTGAGTTGGCCATTTTTCTGAAACAAAATCAAATCAGGTGTTAACATTTATATGATGACTTTTTTACTGCGATATGACAAGAGATTTATTTCATACTAAATCTAAATTTTTAATGTACAGCAGATAGAGCTTTGATTGATTTACTACATACTTTTTGCATCGTGAGTTTTTAAATAGCAAAGCATTTTGAGTGGCCCTACCTTCTGTATATTATTTTTATAAACAGATAATTCTGAGGGTTTTCATGCGGTGTGTACAGTAAGCTCACAATTACAGTACAGTAAATGCTGACCCCCACAACACTCACTTTCTGGTAATTATGACATCAGCATTTTGAGCTTTCTGGATCAGGAATTTCAAGTATGAATGGAAAGGTAAGCTTGAATTTACTTATCTGCACTACATACAGTACTGTAAATGTGAGAATATTAGGCCAACATAATTCAATACTGTAACAATAAAAGTTCCATAAAAAGTGTTTAGAATATATACACATTTTTTAAATAAAATAACTTTTAAAATAATAGGAAAAAGTACTCAGTACACAAGTAATAATAACTGTTCAGTAAAAATGTGCAAAAGAATGAAAATATGCCATTATGTACCATAATAAAACTGCAATAAAAGATATATTGAAGGACAAGGCAATAAATACGTGACTTCAGAAAATCTTTGTACTCTGTACTGTATAGCCGATAGGAATGAGTAGGCTTAATCATATCATACAGGTATATCAAATGTTTACTTTGTGTTTCTCAGAAATACAACCAACCAATACAATGAGACCATTTCGCTAAGCCACGCCCATGTAGATATCTTTGTCCTACAGTAAGTGTTCATGGTCAGACAAGCATTCCTGGCCCTGTTCTGATTGGTCACTTGTTGACACTACAGAAAGGTCGAAAATTAATGAAGAAACCCATCCAACACATAACAGGATTCATTTCATTTATTTTTTCCCCCCATTTATTTATTTAACCATAGGAACATTTAAAAAAGCACAATAACAACAAGATACAACAGAACAATGGTCAGGGACAGCTAAAGCAAATAAATTAATGAAACTCTTAACCCTCTGGATGCCGGATTCTTCTGTAGTGCAAACCCTTGAATACCGGATTCTTTTGCAGTGTAACTAGGTTTTTTGCACTTTTTGAGTATACGTGGTTCTGGTGGATTTTTGGGAAATTTCTGTAAATTATACAGAAAAATGTTTCTAAAAACAAAGAAAGCTTATAGAATAAGCTTTCATTTGATGTATAATTTATATTTTTAGGATTTTTTATTCATAATATAATGTAATATAATATATATAATATAATAGAAATGACAGAAAAATGCTACATACAAAAATCGTCAGCAAAAACCAAAAAAAAATAAATAAATAAATAAATTATAGCAAAAAAAAAAATAAAAACAAATATAAAACATTCCTATTCCACACAGTTATATAATTTATTTACCCAACCATCCATAACTATAAGCACGATCTTTCCATTCAAAAGCAACGACCACCCTCACATTTCTAGGCCTAGGCTCATCTTCATCAAGAACATCTCCGCCGTCAGGACTGCTTGAAGCCCCACCGTCATCATCGCTATCAGGCATGTCTAAGTCTCGCACATCTAAAAACTCACTTTCATCGCTGTCCGAATCAAAAATCAGGTCAATCGCTTGCTCAACTGTGTACACATCTTGTGCGGCCATTTCAGAAAATTTTCGAAATTAATAACGATTTCAAATTGATATTTCTAAATATTTTTATATACTGTAAGCGCATGTGAGTTCTTCACAGATTTCGAAAGAAGAAAGCTTCACGCATGCGTGTTCAAAATTTCTGACGTATTGGAGCTAAAATAAAAACAGAAGAGCGATTTGAAAACCACCTATTTTTTAGTCACTAAATTTCGATTGCAGTCGAAAATGGGAATTCTCGGTTTGAGGTAAATTTCGACTACAGTCGAAGACGGTATCTAGAGGGTTGAGAGTCAGCTGCTCCAAATGAAAAAACAGATAAATAAATATTGCACACAATAGAAAATGTTATAAAAATATATGAAAAGCCCGACAGTACACCTCTCGACCATATCAACCAAAAACTAAACCTATTTTAGAAGCAATTACAAATAATCATTATTGCAATCAAAAAGAAACATTGGATATTGCAATATTTGCCAAAGAACCATCTAAATATTGCTCAAAACTGTAAACAGTATTAACATACTGTATGGTCGTGGAGTTCTCCCAGATTTTGGTAGCAAAAAGAAATGACAAACAAAAATGTATTATATCAAATAATTAAAAAAATGTTTTTTTTTATTTTTTTTTTATCAAATAGACAACCCTCTATTAGCATCTTGTGTGGATGGGGGTACAACACCCAAACAAAGTTTATCATATAATATACAATAATGCACCTCTCTCACCACATCAACCAAAAACCAAACCTATTTTTTAAGCAATACAATTAAAGCTTATTGCAACCAAAATGAAAGATTCAATATTAATTACAATATTTGTCAAAGAATAAACATCTAAAAAATGAACATCTAAAAAATGAACATCAAAATCACAAAAAAACAATAGGACATTCAAGAAATATTTAAAAGCACATGTCAAATGAATTATTATTATTTTTTTACTTTCCTTCACATCGAACAGCAAGTACAGAACACTCACCACTTACAGGGTGGAAATGAAGCTTCATAAACCTAGTCTCTTCATGAGTGTTGGGAGTGGAGTAGTCTTGGTTATGAGAAAAAGGCATGGAACAGAGGGTCAACTCTGCTGCTGTTGGAGGCCTAGTTAGCCAATTATACAGTTCAGTACTATACAATGTTAAATTAGGCCGGGTTTCTACCGCATTGCACTTGGGATTCAACAAAATCCAACTCAAATTTGCGCAGGCAATCACCAGAAAAATATATGCGCAGAATCGTAACTAGGGCCTACGCCTACTGCTGTTGGTATACTGCTGTATTGAGACGGAAAGTATACACATTTTGCGCGTGGGATATTACTGTACTGTATTCGCTGCACGGACACAGGCCCAATTATAATTAGAATCTGTGGCCTATCCTAGTATAGGCCTATGCCCAGCTTTTATTTTATGTTTGCGTGTGTGTGTGTGAGTGACAACGCGACACGCTTTCTAGTCAAAACGGCAATACAGTGTAAACCAAAACAGCAATTTAAAGTCAAAACGGCAACGACCAAAACGGCAATGGACCGCAACAGCAATAAACTATAACAGCAATAAGCTTAAAAGTCTTCTAGAATTCTGATTCTGATTTATTTTGGTATGTCATCAGTTCAGTTAATTTCACATCATCAAAATATTGCACAAAACATATAAAATTCACACAAGGCAGGATAAAAAAATATAACCATAAAAGATAATGCACGAATGGCTTATGAAAGTTTTCTTTAAGAAGTAAAACCTATTTCCAATGTGGTCCTACATAAATTCAATTTTAAACATAAAAATGTTTAAATACGTTAAAAATTTAAAATATATATTAAGACAAAATAAGGCTAAAACCATTTATGTCATAGAAGTAAAACAACGCAAAAAACCAATAATAATAATAATAATAATAATAATAATGATAATAATAATAATAATAATAATAATAATAATAAATATAATAATAATAATAATAATAATATAGTTTTAATACATAACATACAGATTCAATATTAGGCAAAAACTATTTTTGTCATAAAAGTAAAAACATAAAAAAAAAAACAATTAATAAATAAAACAACATAAGCCTGCAAATTCAATAACAAAAGGATGGGGGAAACACAAATAAACATTCAAATAAATAAAACTTTAAAAATACAGAAAAAATTATGCTTCTAAACAATTTACCATGGATAAAAAAAAACGTGATTAAACATTAAAAGCGGGAAGAAGAGCCCAATATTTCATTTGCCTGCTGTATGTATAGTCACAATCGGGCCAATTTCAATATGATTCGCAAAATTATAAACTGCGGCCCGCACTTCGCGGTGCTTGCTCATGGCATTGATTTTGCTTCTTTGTCGTTTTGGTCTGTTGCAGATTTGGTACTTATCATTGCCGTTTTGGTTATTGCCATTTTGGTTTAATGTCATTAAACCAAAATGGCAATAATAATGATGTCTTGACCTGCTACCCGTGACATGGCCACGGTGATTTTACTTTCAAGCCAGTCCACTTCCACCACCACCACCAACAAGCCAGGCAGGTAAAGCAGGATCGATAACGAGTTTCATGATTCAACAGACTATAATAGCCTAGTAAGGCCTAGGCCCAGTATGGCCAGGTTTAACTGGGATCGTTCGTAGACATAGCCTACACAGTAGACTAATAAAATAGCCTAGGCCCAGTATGGCCAGGTTACTGGGATCGTTCGTAGACATAGGCCTAGCCTACACAGTAGCCTCTACTAGACTGTAGACCTAGACCAGGCCAGACAGCAGTTTGTTTAGGCCTTTCTTTACAACAGGTCGTACACCTACGGCCTATGCCTGACTAGGCTAGGCCCTAGCCTCTGGCAGCTGCTGAATGACACCAGTGAGTGAGTGAGAATAAGACGAAAGATTACAGCCTAGGCCTAGCCTAGCTAGAGAGGCCTACCCTAGGCCATCCTCTCTAGGCCTAGGTTAGGCCTGGGATATGCTAGGCTAGGCCTAGGCCTAGGTAGGTAGGCCTAGACCCCAGGCCTAGACATATTGGGGTGCTGTCTTACTAATAAGAAATATTATCATACTTACAAACACAGAGAGAATACTGTGAAACGATTGGTTGAAAACTATTACTTTAATAATAGTCTAAACATTTCGGAAGAAATGCTTCCATCCAATCTGTATTTTTAAAATCTGCCGCGCATCACGTGACAAAGGTTTTGCTTCGTCTTTTTTCTAGGGGGCGTCCTACCACGTTTTACTACAAAATCTCAACATTGATTTACCATCCAATTTAATTCAGTAGGGGCCGCTTCTTACTGCAATGGAACGGTTGCATCCAGTATGAAACATACAGTATACTGTATTTGTTCGATCTTTCAATTTTTAAGCCAATTTACTTGAATATTCAAAGTAGCGATTTAAATATTGTAGATTCATTATTTTTTCAGTTAGCTTTACACACACTAAAGTGTCAACAAAAAGATAGGTCGCGATCATGAACATTGGTGACACTTCTATTATGCAGTGAATGTGAAGTGAAATTTAAGACTAATTGGACATAATACATTTTAAGTAGGCCTGTGTTTGTACATCTGAGTGGGAAATAATGTAGTTGCCTCATTCACCGAAGAGCATAGGCCAGTTTCAATTAATCAACGGCCATTGTAAATTATATTTAGATTTTCTAAATAACATGATATTATTTTTATACATGCCAATTGACAAGAGCAGCTTTGGGGTTCTTAAATTGCTTGTTGCTATTGTTATTTCGCCTACGTACTCTAAATCAACAATAAAAATAATAATAATGATGATGATGATGATGATGATGATGATGATGATGATGATGATGATGATGATGATGATAATGATAATCTTCATTCAATCTCAAGTAAAAAAGAAGACCAGGTCAAGGTCTGTAGATACAGACCAATGCAGGAAGACAACAAATACACATTAAAACGAAACATCAAAAGAAAAAAAAACATTTATGAGATTCAGATTAAAGGGCGAACGTACAGATAGATAGATTAGAGCCATCCAAGAACTATTACATTAATGTAATTTTTCCCATGCAGGGTTAAACCTAGCATTCCAAATTGTGTAGCTGGTAACGAGAGCAGTTTCTGGAATTTCCTTAATTATTGTTTTTGCGTTTCTTGGAGTTATTTAAGAATATCTTTTATTCTAATATCTTATATTCTATATAATAATAATAATAATAATCATAATAATAATAATCATAATAATAATAATAATGATAGGCATAAATAATAATAGTAATGGTAATGATGATGATGATGATGATGATGATAATGATGATGATGATGATGATGATGATGATAATGATAATGATGATGATGATGATGATGATGATGATGATGATGATGATGATGATGATGATGATGAAGATTAGAAAGCATAAAAATAAAATCATGTTATTTCGAAATGATCGAAAAGATAGATTACAATAGCCGTTAGCACATGGAGATTGAAACCTGCCTTCGCTCCCAACAGGCACATACATTATTTCCCACTCAGTTGTACAAACACAGGTCTCTACAGTAATGTATTATGTCTAACCAACCTTAAGTTTAATTTCACATTCACTGTCATAATTCAAGCAGGCCATCAGTGTGTGAAAGATGAAAACAATGCCAATAATAATAATAACATTTCTAATGATGAGGACGATGCAAGGGCGCAGATTTGTTTTCGAAAAGGTGGGCGCGTGGGGGAGGTCGAGTCCACACCCACATGAGCCCCGCCATGGCTGGGGATGAGGTTGGAAATAGTACCTCAAGATGGCCGGAAATGACACTTTTATATAGTAAAATTCATCACGTGCTCAGGCTATCGCTAATCAGACGATGATGATAATAATAATACTATGGGAAGCTACTAATAGAGTTCAACAACAAATTCTGTATAGCACCAGTATTTTGTTCTCGTGAAAGTACGGTAATTAATTGCATTGCTGAGTCAGTCGCTATGTTGGGCGAAAATTAAACAAGAATTACAGGTATATTAACAATAGTCTATATATATATCGATTAATCAACTCAAAAATAACCTAGGCCTATTATGTAGGCCTGACCTGGTGACTTCTTCAAAGCAGTACAGTCCATGCTTATGATTTCTGGGAGAATATGGTGCATTACCAACTTTAATTGACAATATATAATTTAGAAAGTCAGTTGTTTTAATGATACACAGGCACAGGATGACCGTCGTTATTACACGCAGATACAGTAGAACGTCACCTCATTTGGGACACCCCGGTTATACAGGGGACACATTTTTCCGTGAAACGAGGGGCAATATATCTTTTAACACTAGAGCCAACCCATATTAAGGGTTTTGCTAAACTATGTCGTTAGTCTATTCATGCTACATCCATCCAATAGAAAGAACACTTAAACAAAAATAATATTTGGTCATTAACATTGCATCATGAAAAATCGATAAATAACAATTCAATTGATCTGTAAATTTCTGTGTCACAATAATTACACGTTTGCTGATAGCTTTTGGTGATTGTTACTGATCGTCGTTATTACAAACGACTATAAAAAAATACTTCGAATTAATGCGTTAGAGTTAACGCCCGTAGGCCTATTCACTGAACCTCATAAAATCTTGAACTAAAGTGCAACAAAATACATAAAGGCAATCAGAACAGTAGTACAGATCATGATAATTAACCACTGAAGCGTACACTGTCAAAAAAGCCGAGTTTTATGAAATGATAAATCGTAAGGCATTAAAAGCACATAAGACTCTTGTAATCATTATTCAAAGTACGTTTAAAGTTCAACTTTTCAAATATCAGTACAATTGCCGAGAGATAAAAAAAAAAAACCAATTTAGATGAAAAATACACTGAGGCGGCTATTCGCGCTCAAAGTCAACCGTTCTCGGTTAGCTAGCTTCAGGGGAAACCATTGACTCGACACATTCGTTTTAACTGTTGGCATGCTCACCCTTCAATTGCTATCATAATATCTAAAGCATTACCATCTTCATCACCATCGTGCGTATTCATCATCACCACCGCCGTTGACCACCGCAATCACCATCAACATCACCATCATCATCACCTTCTTCGTCATAGTCGTCATCATTCATCATGATCAACATGATGATGATGATGATCATCATCATCATTATCATCATCATTATTATCATCACCGTCGTCTTCATCATCACCACCACCATCATTCTCATCATCACCCTCATCATCTTTGTTGTAGTCATCATCATCATTATCATCATCAATATTATTGATAAGGAGCATCATTATCATCATCGTATTTCACTTCCTACAAGAAGTTCCTATCGAATTCGGCTATTCCTATGCTAACATCTACATGCATGCATCTCTAGTACATCATTATCCATATAGATGCGTGTACATGCAACCAAATTAGGTGTTTTAGTTGTGATATATTTCCACAATTCATTCTCATTAGCGAATTGCTTGTAAAGTAATTCTCGTCAATTATTACGCCGCATGGATTAATAGTATTTGCTGTGATTAGTAGGTACGTTATGCATGATACATCATTGAGTTCATTACTTATTTATTTTATTTATCATCATTTTAATGAAGCAAAATATGGTGATTTTAGATTTAGGTGATTTTTAACTACTAGTAATTGACCGTGATTTCTGGGGGCGACAGGGCCGGGGGGGGGGGCGAGTAATTTGTGGGGAGGAGTGCCCCTGCGCCCTCCCCTAGATGCGCCACTGCATCCAGAAACACATACCCACACTTTCCGATAATCACTTTATTCAGAAAAGAATTGAAGGAGTACATGTCCGAAAAACCTTGGTCAATGTTCATTAAAACAATTGCAAGGTAAAAGTCATACAAAAGACACATTGCGAAACATTTAGAAAACTTAAAACTTAACAATACTATTAAAAGGTAAATTTTACACTAAAATTTCGTAATTTACAAAAAAATAGCATGAACATCGAAATGAAATTAACTTTTTTTAAAACAGCCAAATATAAGATTACAAGAATAAATTTTGTCTTTAATTATAAGTTTATTGCATCATAATTATTTTATTAGTTTAGATTATTTAACACATTTTTTAAATATATTGTACCTCAAAATAGTTAGGGCCTATGTATCTGATAAAAAAAAATAAATTACAGGTTTAACAATACAAATTTTAAAATAAGAGAAAATCAAATATTCAAAATAACTTACAAGGAGACATAAGCATTATTTAAAGACATTAACATTTTTTTAAATAGGCATATTACAAGCTTATATATATAGGCCTAGGCCTATTCTCTTATACACATCTAGATGTGTATATATGTATATATATATATATGTGTATATATATATATGTATATATATATCAGATTAATTTACTTTTAAAGATATACTTATTTATTTTTTAAACAATGGAATATAAATTTAATTTCAATAATATCGAAGTGGCGCTGATAGCGTTTTTAATTATCAGTTTAATTGAAAAGAGGAACAGAACTCTTTAACGGGACAACACACATTTTTTTTACGAGTGAAACGTGTTTCGTTTTCACACCATGCAATTGAAATTTATATAGTAATAAACCAATTCCCTATTCAATTAATCGATATAGTAATATAAGTACTAATGTATTAGGTAATGAATACTTTTATAATATAGGCCTACGCAAATGGTGCTTGGGAAATATGGGCTTCTGTGGAAACTATAGCGCCAATGTTATAATTATGGATATAATTATCATCATCATTACCACCACCATTATCACCATCGCCTTCAAAATAGGTTCATCATCATTAGCCCTTAGCAACCGTATATCACCATCAACACCACTGTCATTATTATACAAATCACCCATATCATTCTCCACCTTCTCATCATTATAAATATTATCATTACATTATCATCGATCTTTATGTTCATCTTCATCTTCATTTTCATCTTCATCTTCACCTTCATCATCATCATCATCATCATCATCAACAACATCATCATCATCATCATCATCAACAACAACATCATCATCATAATAGTGACGCTGTAGAATATGTACCGGTATGGAGCGCTAAATGGGCAAAACTTAAATTACAGTGCAAAAAAGTGCAAAATGTAGATTGCAGTGCAACACTGAGGTAATATAAATATGTTTAAGTAGCACTTTAGAATTTCGCTGTATCGTGATTTTCCCCTGCACTTTTACATTTGCCCATTTAACGTTTCATAGATAAGA